TGGTCAAAGTATATTCAAGACAATGAGATCGTAAACACTTGCTCTTTCACCGACAAATTATCCAGAACTGAAAATAATAACTTGCTGTCTGCTATTTCCACAAGTTCTAGGGAATCGCCGAGGATTTCTGTGGCGACAGAGATCCTCGACTCAGAGGACGATTTGAGTTCGGAGAAGCAGGAAGTGGAGTCGGTGCAAGGCACGCCAACGGGAGTGCTTTGCGAGCAGGTGGTACCGCTACTGCGGTACCTTGATCGCAAGGCAGCTAAGTACGCGGATCCCCTCTATCGGGGATGCTACGTCGAATTGGTCAGGAATCGGACGCGGATTAAGGTAGCGACGAATCCCGAGCTGATTTCCCTGGACCAGAAGTACCGGGAGTTGGAGGAGAAGAACGATGTCCTGCTGGGACATCTTGCACTCTCGCGGAGGTTGCACAAGACAGTACTGCAGCTGCGCGATGACGCAGCGGCCGAGGCACAGCGCGAATTTGAGAAGCAGTGCGCGAAGCTCGAGGCGGAGCTCCATTCTGAGCGAATTCAAAATGGCACCTTGGCAAAAGAGCTCGTGCGGCAGACACGGTTGCTGGAGCAGTGTCAGATCGCACGGAAGGCGGATGAGGAGTTACTGCGTCTCCTGCAATCACTGTGCGATGAATTGAAAGCGCAGCTTGCGGATGCGGAGCTGCAGTTAGTGGAGTTTGAAGGCGACAACCGGCGCGCGACAGATCGCACGCAAGAGGAGTTAGTAGCGCGAGTGAACCGGTGTCTAAGAGGTTACACTCTCTGGGAGGTTGCAGCGCGGGAGAGAGTCACCTTGCGCGAATTGGAGATTCGTGCGGCAGCCTTGATGTCGGGTGACAGTCGGAGTCGACAGCAAGTTGCGAAGCGGTTGGATGCCTTTCTGGCGAGGTCGCGAGACGCCATTGCAAACCTCGAGGCAGAGTTGACCGCGGTGTTGCGGCGGCTGGTATTGCGCAGTAGAGCCGAAGACTGGTCGGGAAGGGAGTTAGTGCGCGGTCGGCCTTTGCACAGGAGGCATAGCAGATGACGTGTAGTGTAGCGTAGAGTTGAGTGGTAGTTTGGACTTAGAGCGTATAAAGTAGTTCAAGGCGTTGGCCTTGGGAGATTTTCCAGTTTTGGAAGTTCAGTTCAGAAACTCATTTTCTCTGCGCGTTTGTGTCCTTCGATCTATCACCGCGCAAGAGGAGCTACAGCTTGATGAAGTTACCGCATTTTGTAGCTGAAGGCCCTCGCACGAATGTTCTAAGCTAGTGTAGTCTAGTTAGAACCTGAGCAGTTCGGACTTACACCTTCGGACGATTGTCTCTATTTGTACTACTTCGGGATTTTTCCCCCTAAATGCCAAAGTGAAGTTTTGTTACTTTGAGTAAGCCTTGGTTGTCAATTCACGTTGTGTGTTACGCTGCTTCAGGCGTCTTCGGGCATAGCCTCCGTAGTTTTTATGGGAGTTACTTGAGAATTCAAACTCGTCAATAGACTGTTAAGTTGTGACACTAAATCTTTTCTCAACTCAGTTTGGATTTCTGTATTCTCTACGCGTTTTGTGAGTTGAGTGTGTTGTTCACCGCGTGAGAGTGACTTCGGGTTGACGAAGGTACCGCATTCGAAATAGGAAGTCCAACCCGGATGCCCTCCACTAGCAATAACTAGTGGAAGTGTTGTAAATTTGGAATTGGGATCACTACCTGCAGATCCTTTGAGTGTACTCTTGGGAAACTTTTCCTCTTAATCTTAAGTAGAGGTACTAATCTACCTCTGAGTTGTGCTTTTCCACTTCCAGTTGTGTGTTGGGGTTTTTTACGTTGCATTGTGTATACTCCGAATTGAAAACCTGTAGAATTTCTTAGAGTGACAATAACTTGAAAATTCAAACTCTTCAATAATATGTTAAAACGTGATATTTAGTATTTTGACTCTGTTCATGTGGGTTTAACCTTTTGTTACTATACTGCAGTTTTAGTCTTTGGTGTGTTGTTACTTACCACTTGGATTTGTTTATTTACTCATTTCTTCTCCTTGAATGGTCTTTGCATTTCAGTTCGAATCAAAGAAATAGTAGTATGTCATGGGTTACCGATGGTTTGAAGAGTTCGATTTCAAAACTTGCGCCTGATTGATATTTCCCTGCAATTACTCTCAACTAACTCATCGATATCAAACTGATTACATATTCTGAATATTGGAGGAGTAGGACTAAATGTTCTTCATGTGAATCATCGCTTAAACTCAGCACCTTATATCCTGTCTGCGTTTGGCCAGCTTACCCTCTCCTGTTTCCAAAACTACACGGAGCTGATCTCTGGCGAGAAGGATTTGGCAGTGCTTTCAGGTGAGAGTCATTGGTTTCGACAGTGTCCAGATCAAAACATTCATCTGAAGGTATAAGGGGCAAAGAACCACATGAACGATATGGAATTGTTGAACTCGCAATTCGTGTATCCTCGTTTCTCGGATGTGGCAGATGGGCAGGAGAGTTGGTTCCCAGTGTCGTGTGGTCTCAGGTTTCTTACCTGTTTTGCACGTCATTTGGATTTTACACATCTCGACTTATTATTTGACCTCCTTCCCTGAAAAATCAGCAACGCGACTTACATGGATCGAAATCAGGCGAGCTCAGGTTTCCAGATTCGAGATTTCGGTTTCGATCAGTTGAGCTTGATGAGAATTTAATTTAGGAGACATCAACATATGTTTAATCAGAAGAATACGTACCGGCTAAATCAGCAACGCGACTTTTATGGATCGAATTCAGGCGAGCTGAGGTTGCCAGATTCGAGATTTCGGTTTCGATCAGTTGGGCTGGATGAGAATCTAATCCGGGAGACATCAACATATGTTTAATCAGAAGAATACGTACCGACTAAATCAGCAACGCTACTTATATGGATCGAATTCAGGCGAGCTCAGGTTTCCAGATTCGAGATTTCGGTTTCGATCAGTTGGGCTGGATGAGAAATTAATCCGGGAGACATCAACATATGTTTTATCAGAAGAATACGAACCGACTAAAATTTGTGTCACTCGTTGTGTTATGTAGGTTTCTGGGTGTAAACCTGATCCGAGCATTCATGCGCAATGTCAGACACATGTTATTTTTCTATCTCACAAACTGCGCAAAAGAGGAATATAATCAACTGCACCTTCGCGGTGAATGGAGGTACACGTATAACTGCACCGCGAGTCTCCTCATCACTACGGTACTAGCATTGCAACTGGAGAGCAGCAGGACTGCCCTTACTGATGGTCTATAAAGGAGAATCAATCAATTCAGGTCAGTCTCACGCAGCAGAACAAAATCAAAACCCCACGAGGGATCACAGTCTAAGCAAATATTCTGAAATAGCCTTGAGAAAGACCTTACGCTCCAATTTCATAGATGAGCATGGGTAAGCATTTTTTAGGATCACGACGAGGATGCGTTTGTGATCAGCTTCAGCTTTCGATTCCTTCTTCAGATTGAAACAGCGGAAACCTACTTGAAAGTGAGACTTTATCCTTCATAGTCAGTTTCGATTTCATATCCGATTCGTAAGAGTCCTAACCTGAGAAACGGAAGAACACCAAGCGACATACCTGAATGAAAGAAATCCTGGTCAATTCGCACAGCATGAGCTATGCAGACGTCTTCCTTTCAACTGATAATTCATACCTGTGGAATTTCTCGACCAACTCTCATCCCAATAAGAATTTATCTGGGCGGTACTTGAATCTGGTACTTGAATATGGGTCTGTACGATCAGAATTGCCAGTTTAGCTTACTGATGTTGCATTTGGATGGCATTGAAAGCTTTGATCTGTACTGCACCATCCTGCTACTCGATACTGTCCAAATAGACTCGCTCAATAGCCGCGATAGATCGCCAAATTTATGCAGTCCTAAATCATAAGACCATTTTTAACTGAATGCTATATCAGTCAATTCTTAAGGTTGATGCAAGATATACCTATACATGTCTAGCAAATCAAGGAAAAAAACGAGAAATCTGGAAACTTCACCCTCTATATCCTAATTTTGCTCCTCAATGCTGGGACTGGGTTCAGGAATCATGACAATCTAAAGCATGACCATTGTAGCATGTGCTTGCATCTCATGTCCGACCTGCAGGGATACACCACGTTCACCAAGAGCAAGATATGTAGACAGGCTGAGAGTGACAGTATAATAAGTGAAGAACAGCTCTGGGCACAGCTGGATGTTCAAAGCAGAAAATCGGGTTTTCTCGATGCCACGTATGGGATCAGAATGACCGAGGAAAGTGAGTTAATCAAATCCAGGCGACTGCTAGTTAGTGGTGACAAAATCAGAGGATAATAAAAGATAGTGTATCTACTTTCTGTTTTCGCAGTTTATGTCCTTTTATTTCAAAACACTTAAACTCCATTTGATGTCCAGGTGACTACAAACAAGCGTCCAACAAACAACCTCAATTTACACTTTTTTTTTACTTCCTTTTATAAATACTTTCTTTTATTCATGTTATTATTGGATAAAAAGCCGCAGTTGGATTTTTCTTCTATATCGGAAAGAGAAATCTTTCCGATAGGCGCATGAATTTTCAGCGAGAAGAGGACAGTCATAACAACGTGGACTCAGTCGCTGACAGACCTTGTGGATTGACGATTGTTTGAAAGAATCAACTTTCAATAGCATCATACACAGCTCATAACGATAAGGAATATGCAAAGAAGAATCTCAGAGCGAGGTTGGATCCACAGTGGATCGCGTGATCTGAGTGACCTTTCCAGACCTCTTGAATTTGCAGATAGCACCTTTCATGGTTATATATCACTCTTTCAACGTGACATCTTTATCCGTAAGAGGAGGAACACAGTTGACACTAAATCTGCAAAGAACATTCTTTTCCGGCTTAAACATTTTCTTCAGACGTGGAACTGTTTGAGATTGACTCCGAGTTCCATGGAAAGTGTAGTATAAGTAGTGGAGAGATTCAAACCAACTTCATCATCAGTCGCGTTGTCGCATACAGTCTTCGAGAACCCTTCTCACTGATTCAGGTACCACTTTTCTGGGAGCACTACGTCTAGTATCTATATACAGCTTGAGGGAGAAAGTTTGAGATTTGCTCGAAAACTCCTTTGTGAAAATCATCTCTCATTCATGTTATTCTAATCCGCTTTGTGAACTTATTAGTCTTCAAGGGTTTTCCTGTACCTAAAACGTAGATGTGACTCACCTCACAGAAGTTTGATTTTTTCTGAATGATTCGCAAGAGTTTTCAGCTGCCTGAATCTTACAAAGACTTGAAGCAGGCCAAATTTTAGAGCTTGATTAGAGTCGTTTCAAAGGATTATACTGGAGTACATGCTTTCAAGTTGCGTGATTTGGAATAGCGACACTCACGACTGTCGACTTCTCTTTAATACGTGGATTTTGGGCTTGACCAAAATCCACCTATGAAAGAGCAAGTAGTAAAGCTTAACTGGTTCCCTGACTTCAATTGTTGTGTAGGAATCCAGCAATATAATATTGTCTCTGTCGACCCCAATGGAGATCATGACATGGACACATGTGGATCGTTCGTCAGTAATGTTTATTTTTATCGGAGCTATGCTGTTCATTGCACCTCCAAGCTGCACAGCAGACCTTGTTAGTACTGTGGTGGCAACAGTCCTACCGTCCCCGCCCCCACCACCAACAATTCTTCAATCACCACCACCACCTCCCAATCCAGTATCACCACCACCCCCGAAATTTGCTTCACCACCACCTCCCACAGCAGTCTCACCACCACCTCCCAAAGCAGCGTCACCACCACCACCCACAGCAATCTCACCACCTCCTCCAGCTCCTCCAGGTCTGGACCCGGCATACTACTCTGTCAGCTGTCCGTCCGCAACTGCCTGGGTGCAAAATATGACGGCCAGTATAGTTGCCAGTGACAGGACCATGGCAGCTGCCCTGCTAAGGTTGCACTTTCATGACTGCTTTGTTCGGGTACGTCATGAAGATGCGACAACGTGCACATCGTTTTCAAATGACTTATCTCTTTTGAAATAGTTGATGGTTTTCCAATTAAACATAAATCAATCATTCCAGCATTTTATAGCTTAGCCTCCTTCTCGGCTCAGGAGCTCACATCATCCGCTTCCGATCTGCAGGGATGCGATGCATCTGTTCTCCTGGACTCCACCCCTGGCAACACTGCCGAGAAGGACTCGCTGGCCAATGCCAATTCCCTCAGAGGCTTTACTCAAGTCGATCAGGTGAAAGCCAAGCTGGAGGAAGTCTGTCCTGGTATCGTCTCGTGTGCTGACATCCTTGCTCTTACAGCTCGCGACGCCATTGTGAAGGTAATCCAGGAGTCAACCTGGATGTAACGTTGGTCCCGAATTCCACTTCAATGTCGATTCGAAACATGTTGAACTTTAACATTTCATGAGGGCCTGCACCTTGCACATAATAAAAAGTTCATGGTTTCGTGGTCTGTACAGATCGGCGGGCAATCATGGGTGGTTTATCTCGGAAGGAAAGACGGCGTTGTTTCAGTTGCATCTGAATCAATGTCCAGCTTGCCTTCTCCTTTCGCCACCTACACGCAACTCGTCCAGGGCTTCGCCGCAGTCGGTCTGAGCGAGAAGGATATGGTGGTGCTTTCAGGTGAGAGGTCCTTGACGTCTAGCACTGGCGACCGAGTCTGGAGTTACAGAAAGGAATTTGTGTCAGAGACTGCTGTCCGAGCGTGATTTATTATCTAACTTCCTGTCATTTTTGCTGTAACATTTGCAGGTGGGCACACCATAGGCACAACCAAGTGCGGAGCATTCTCCCAGCGCCTTTACGGCTTCTCGGGCCCTGGAGCAATCAACGGGACGGATCCGACTCTGGATCCAGAGTACGCCAAGGTGTTGAAGCAGCAGTGCCCACAAAATGCTCCCCTGAACACGGTGTTCCTGGACCCGTCAGGCAGCTTCCCCGGACAGACCTACGACAAGGGATACTTCGAGGCCGTGAAGGCGAACAAGGGCGTGCTGGCCTCTGATGCAGCTCTTCTGACCAGCTCCTTCGGTGCGAGCCTGGTGGCTGTGGAAGCAAGCGCCACCTCTCCATTCATGACAGACTTCGGAGTCTCCATGCAGAAAATGGGCATGGCCGCTGCTCCAAAGGGAGCTGCGTTGCAAGTCCGTAAGAACTGCCATTTCGTGAATTAGACAGGTGACTCATGAAAAGGCTCGCCACACAACTTTAACTTACATCAGAGATTTGAATCCACTAAGAAATGGACAATTCAAGGTAGTCCATCTTAAACAAATTACTACTTTCTGAGCGGAGCTAACATTCTTCACCCATGCACTTGTTTGCAAGGTGAATATGCAGGTCTAGTCGACATGTCCGACTATCTAGATTCTTCTAGGGTAGCCTAGAAGGCTACCCCAGAAGAAGATGAATAATTGAATAGAGATCTGACTGCAGGAAGCGCATTCTTCCCAGTTCAATAGCTCAGAAGTAGCATTTTGAAGTGATTAGTCACGACGATGATGAACCCAGTGCTTTGGTTCGAAGATAAACATCAGGCAACAGGAATGGTCAGATCCGAAGAACACACTTTAGCGAGAAATCTCTTAAGTTTTGACATGCCAGCTAGTGGTATAGAGACGAGATTGGTCTACGACGAAATATACTCCTTGAGACCCCACGGTTTAATAAAGCTGGCAAATTTTGCCCGACGCAGGAGTTTTTTAACTTTGTCATTTTTAAACCCCGATATTGTCGCAAACTTGGATGGCGCTACATTGTTCGAAAAATCCTTGTAATCGATAACTGGTACATTTTCTCATACATAATTGATTGTTTTTTCATTGATTTCTACCCACTTGAAAGTAATTGAATAAAAAATATAAATTTCTGAGAACGGAATATTTACGTGTGATATATTACGTGCGATGCCCTAAAAATTATATAATCTGACTTATTTAAAAAATATGTACAGTAATTTATTTAATTTTCATCAATGATGAGGTTATTGAATAAAATCTGCATTTTTGTTACTCTGTGTTTACCTGTTATATATTTTATTTTGGTTATTGGAACAACTATATAAATGAATCATACAAATGATATTAATTAATGTGTTAAATTTTCAGTTATAAAGGAAATGAAATTGTTTGTTGTTTTTTCAAAAGATGAATAGTTTCAAAATAAACTAATCTTTGTCAATAATAAATGAGTTGAAAAATCAAAGACCTTTTTTGTTTAGAGATGGGTGAAAATATACTTTAAGAAGTTGAAATTCACATTTATTAGAAACAAATGTACATGCTCATCTTGCTTTAAGTTAGACCAAAATCAGATTCATTGCATATCATTATGTCTAACATAAACTCACTATGATCAACTATGTGAAGAACTCAAATTAAGATACAAGGTTGTTCACTCCATTGGTATAGAAAATATATGATATTATTGTCAAACTGTGTTGCATAGATTAGGCATTTAGCTCTTGATCTTAAAACTTGGATTGAAAATAGCACAAACTCTTCTAAGTTTATCATGTAACAACTTTATCAAGTACATGTTGAATAAACTTGCATTCATTTTAGCTTTCTGTTCTTCAAATACTTATCAACAGAAATTCGTAACATATTTTTGAATTGATTTAATTCATCCATTTTAAGCACAGATTTTTCAATCTTATTCTTATCGTTAACGTTATCATAAAAAATATTTCATGCATGAATAAACCACGAAGCTGAGTTTTCTGTTATTCATCAGCTTGATGTAAACAAATTCATCAAACATATTTAAACTTTGTAATTTCCTGAATTTATCAAATTTTGCTTTGAATTCATCAAAAATTACCTTCAATTTATATAAAATTTTGGTCTATCAGAAGATTTTTTAAGTTGTAATATTTCAGGCATTCTTTTTTATAAATACAATTTTTTTCATAAAATGAGTGTATACGGTATGAAATTACTTATGTATTGCAATATTCAACAATATAAAAAAAATATGATGTTTGTTGGCACATTCATTTGTTTAAAAGACTTTGAGTCAACTTAAAAATGCGTGTTCTCATTTGAAAATTTTCAAAGAAAAAAATTTTCATTTTATGATTTTCATTTTTCAGGAAGTAGAAAACAGAAATGATGATAGCTATCAAAATGATACGAGTAGTTTTCCAACATAACAGTATATACATTTTATGTCTTGAATATTTTTTATCCATTAATTTCTCAAATATAATCTTCCTAAGAAAATCCGTTATCAACTTATATTTGTTGACCTCCTTATTGTAAAATTTTGTTATGTATTTTCTATTTAATGTGAAAACTTTTATCGAATTCAAAAATTGATTCCTTGTGATTTGAAAATTAATGCTATTCCAAGAATGTTGCTTTACTCAATGAGCGTTAAAATATCTGATTGTAGAGTAAATGGATGCTTTGATAAGAAATTTGTTAAGCATATTTTTTTTCCTATTTTCAATAAAATTTTAGAAATTTTTTTACTTTATTCCAATATGCTTTCAAAAATATTTTATCCGAAAATTTAATTTTTAATCTTTAGTAGCAATTTTGAATCATTCAATAATTATTGGATGAAATAAATAGATTATTGAAATTTTTTTTCCTTAATTTAAAAAACTTTGTACGTTTATATTTAAAAAAATTAGGAAACGTGATTTAAATTCAATTTTTTTTAAACAAAGAATACTGTGAAGATGAAATAGAAACTAGTTAGCTTATCCAAAAAAAATTGTGCAATTTTGCAACTATGAATTTACATATCAATTTTCATCTACCATTTTGCATTTGAAATCTATTCCCATGAACAAAATTTCATTGAAAAACATTAGATGAATATAGTTTTTTGGTTATCAAATCAAAATTTTCATACTTCTCTTTTTTTGATTAATCTTTCGTAACAAAATTTAAGTCATTTGCATAATAACTTGTGATAATTATCATTCAGAGTTTATGAAATAAACTAATATAGTTATTTGTTGAAGAAAATTATCATTGTTGTTTACCTTAAATTGTTTTAAAATTTTTTATTTTCCAATAATTTTTTATACACCATATGTGTCTATAACAGCCTTGATAAAGAAACTAAGACAAAGTGTTCTAGGTTTGATACCAATAATTTAGTGAAAAACTAGTAACAAATGTGATTGAACAATGAGAATTATGAAGATTTAGCAACATTTCAAACCGTGTAACTTGTTACTGAACTGGTTCGATAATCTGAATTGAAAAGAATTGTATCAACTATGTTTTTCAGGACCTTTTAAACAGTTTATATGTTTGGGAATAAAATAAAATACTTTGGTAAAATTGCTCTTTATGTTACAAAAAGATGTACAATAAATCATACATCTTGGAATTGAGAACAAGAAGATGAAGAATTTCGTAAACAATGAGACTGAAAATGAATGAGAGATTTTTTGTACTGCTTCATATAATCATCTTATAATTAGCAATATCAACCGAATGTATTGAATCATTTTTTAAATCAACTGTATGGATGTTTGTATGAGTGTTTAAGCATTTCAAAATTCGACATTTGAACCCTCAATTTCTCCAAGGTACTCGAAAGACATATTTACTCCACAGTGGTTAGAGAAGTATAAGATCACAAATTACAGATCAATCGACATTAATGACAACATTAGCGGGAACCATCATCAATTTATTACAATTTACTTGCAGCTTTGCGACCACCACCAAACACCAGCGAGTCCGGTTTGTGGCCTCTCTTCTACGCCATGAAATGTCCCTCTGTTACAGCTTGCTTGGGTGCAGAACATGACCTCTATGGCTGCAAATGACAGGTCCATGGCAGCAGCCTTCTAGCGCCTGCACTGTCATGGCCGCTTTATTCCTGTCGGGAACTGGAGACCTCGACCTGAAAATACTGCGATCAATTGCAGATGTCATTAGACATTCCTTATAGTCGTTCCTCCTTATTGCCGGAGAGCTTTGATCATTGAGTCAGCAAAGACCAGATCGCGCGTACATGGAAAGCTCTGCCATTCATTTGGATGTTCTACATTATCATATGTAAAGTTACGGTAATGAAATTTTTCTCCCTTGTGCTCTTGAAGCATACGTAGATTAGAGTGACACCACCACTTGTCGAGTAAGGACTGACGTCGCCCACTCATCATTGGAACTCACTGCAGATTGGAGGCCTTTGGTGGGTCGCATATATTGGAAAAAAAGGACAGAGTCGAATCCAATGCATCGGAGGCGATGGCCAGCTTGCCATCTGATTTTCCCAATTAGACGGAGCTCATCAAGACATTCTCTAAAGCTGGAATTATTGACAACGTCATGTAGGCCTTTCAGGTGAGAGGCAATGGCAACGACGGTGTCAGATCAGAACATTCATCATGATAAAGTTATAACGGGCACAGAATGTCATGAACGAAATGGAATTCTGACTCCGACGGAATCAGCATTCCTCGTTTCTCGAATGTGGCCTGAAAGCAGGACAGTTTTGACTTAGTGTAGTGTGGTCTCAAACTCAGGAGACATGAACATATCTTTCATGGAGAAAACATGCACTGTCTATGATTATTGTAACTCGTTGTGTGCTGTAGATTACGAGGCGTAAACCTGATCTATTCATTCATGCTCAATGTTAGAGATATTTAATTTTCTAGCTCACAAACTGCGCAAAAGTGGAGATATAAAAAAAATGCACCGCGAATCTCCTCGTCACTAGTTTTGCGGCTGGAGCAGAAGGATTGCCCTTGCCGATCGTCTATAAATACAGTATTCGTCACCCCAGGTCAATCTCATAGAGCAGAACAAAGTGAAAACCCCATGTGGGAACACAGTACACGCAAAAATTCTGAAATAGCCTGAGATTTACCTCAAGCTCTAATGTCATAGATGAGCATGGGTAAGCATTCGTTGCGAATCACAAGGATGATGCATTTGCAAGCAGTCCAATTCAGTTTAAGATTCCTTTTCAGGTTGAAGTGACTGGAACTTATGTAGACGTGAAAGTGAGACTCTTTCCTTCATAGTCAATTTCAATATCATATGTATCCGATTCTGAATAGGTGGAATCGTAAGATCCTAAACCTGAGAAATGGAAGAACTTGAAGACGAGATACCTGAATAAGAGAAGCCCTGGTAGGTTACGCAGGATTTCTCTCACAGCATGAGCTTCGCAGACTTCTACCTTTCAACAGATTTTTCATCCCAATGGAATTTCTCTGTCCCTATCTCCTCCCATCAGAAATTCTTTTGGGCGGCTCTTCATGAAGGCACTTTTCAGAGGTTGAAAGTAACATCCTGGCAATTGGGGATAGATTATTACGATCACAAGACCAATTTTAGCTTCTTGATCTTAACCTGGTGTTTTTTTACGGATGTCAGTGAAGGCTTTGATCTGCATTGCACAATCCTCCTACTGGAATATTTCCGACTAGACTCCCTAGATATCATAATCAGATTTTAAGAATTATGCACTCCTAATTATCAACTAGATAATATATCACTTTCTTTCTTGAGGTTGATGCAAGCTGTGCCTGTAGATGTGTAGTAAATCAAGTGAGTCAGCGAGAAATCTGGAGAGTTCAACCTCTATATCCTAATGTTGCTCCTCGAAGGGAGGACTGAGTTCAGGAAGCATGGGAATCTAAAGCATGTACTTGCCTCTCACGTGGTGTATTCCTGCAGGTCTTATCCGACCTGCAGGAATACACCACGTTCACCTAGAGGAAAACCTGTAGACAAGCTGAAAGATTTTATAATAAGTAGATAACAGCTCTAGGCAGAGCTGGATGATCAACGGAGCAAATCGGGTT